GCGGGCCGATTAGACTACCCTCCGACGATAATTAGACAAATTCAAAGTGAAAGCAATAATGGGATAACAGATGAGCCTGATACCCACTCGCTTGTATAAATCCGTGGAATGAGTTTGAAGTCAACTAAGACCAAATTAAGAACAAGTGAGCTCTCCGTAAAGACTATAATTATATTCAGATGTCAAATGGTGCAAGTGCATTTGAAAGAAATCCAAGCGCTTAGAGGTGCTCTGTTTGTGGCGTCTACACACCCTCTTCCAGCTGCATCGCCAGCGAGCTTGTGCGCAGTCGATAGAGGGCAGGAAGGAAGAACCAGGCACGTTTTACTTGCCAGCTCATGCGGCTCTGTCGTGAACTAAGTGGGTATAACGGAAAGCCGTCCCAGACGTCAGCTTACTGCGCTAACGGCTGGATGCCGATGGCGTCACGATACTTAACTAAATGTGTAAATAGGCATGGTGAAGTGGGACTTTACATGCACCGGAGACTGCGTTCTAAGTATCGTTTGATCTGTGTTCCAGCTGCTTATATTCCGAGTTAATGTTCCATGTTGATCGATTGCAACGGTAGATCAATCTCGAAACATTTAGCTCGCACAAGATGGTCAGAGTCACGGTTGTGTGAGCACTTAACTCGGCGTCAAAAATTCTAATCCACTTGATAAATGTCTGCTGTTAACTCAAATTAGCAATTTCATGGGCTTACCTAGACGAACAGGCACCCCCCACAAGATATATATCCTTCATCAGAATCTAGTGAAGTCGAACTACCGCTTAGGAACCGCTGAAATCGGAACTTCATGAATCTAAATAAAGGAATAATGCACGATTTTATACTTTGCCGAATGAACTTTTACTTGACAGGCAACCGAACCTCTGTAGACCGAATACGACTAGCGAAAACGTTGCCTGAAAGATCTCTACCTAGACTGGAACCCTCAGCAGGTTAAAAACAGAATGCAAGAAATAGAATATCTCATTTACAAAATTAGATGAATCATAAAATACTCACAAATGAATGAAAAAAATAACTTTCTTATTTTCAGAAATTCGGGAAACCGGAAGAAAGTCAGGGTATGGAGGTGGTACATGAAGTTGAGGAGTGAGCAGGCGTTTTTTTTCCATACGTTTATAACATTCCTGATCATCGATTTTCATACAATGTTTTTCAAATGCCCTTATTCCAATTACAGCGATCAATTTCTCATGTACTAAAAAAGAAGATGAAGATGTGTTAGTTCATTTGAGTCTAGTATTCTTAAGGTAAAGGTGGGCAAACGGCTTTTAACTCCTTATTGTTTACAGTAACGTTGCAAAAGAAAACCACTGATGCATAAAGGACGTCGAAAAGGCTGGCTATAGATCTGAACACAATAAGCATGTAACCGTCTGGTAACTACTACCTTGTGTCAATGAATGCGTGATGTGGAAACAATGTGAACGTAGCAAAACGCGTTACTGGTATGTGTTAAGTAGTATGGAAATGAGCACTTAACTATCCACCCGAGTGCGCGGGCTACACTTCACCCTACGAGATATGTAAAAGTAGAACGGAACGTGGCCCAAAAAATTAATAACCAGCACCTTTTGTGATTTACCAGCAAGTGACAGAGCACACTTTTAACTAAACACGAGGGCTCCTCAAAAGGGAGTGTCTGGCGACATGCTCGGGAACACGGCATATCTAACACAACCATAAACAGAATGTTAGTGAAACATTGTTTTATGCCGTACTGTGCAGCCTGGCTACAAGAAGTTCGGTTCAATGATGTAGACTGGTAACAGATTTGCTCGTGGTCCCTATGAGTAGGAAAATTTGGATACTTCCTTTACCGAAACAATATTATAGCTGAGCAGAATGATGAGATCTCATTTTTGAGATATTACAAAACCGCGCCGTTCTATTCTGAGCCAAAGTCAGAATGATCTGAAGGTCATTGACTGAGTCTGGTATTACGAAAGCAAAAATAATTTGATATCTTTTGATCAAAGCGTCTCGGGCGAGACGGCTATCAAGAACAATTAATTTATCCCCATTTAAGTAGTCCTACTGTTAACTGTTGCAACAGCCAGTGGTTCTGATGTTATGTAGTCTTAGAATGCATGGCCATGTGTGGCTTGAAAAGGGTGGGGCTGTTACATGGGCTTTTAACGGCTGACTGATCGACCGGAGGGCCCGAGGAATTGCTGCGTAGGTCCTCCTT